CGCCAGTAGGCTGCGAGCGAGAGCCACCACACGAAAGAACTGGCGTTCGAATTCGTCACGGTCGGCCAGAGTGGACTCGGCCTCGGCGTCGTCAGAAAGCACCTCGATGTCGGTCTGTAATGCATCAAAATCGGAATACATGGCCTCGAACCTATTAAAACGCTCCTCCAAGTCTAAACGTTGCAAATGAGATATATCCGCATTACTACTGATTAAATTTAAATAATTGTTAAAAACTGTAATTTTAGACTTCATAGAACTAGGTTTTTTAATTCATGTTTTAATAGAATCTGCCATATTAAAGTCTTAAGAAAATGCTGAAGCCGAAAGAAGGGGCCGAAGGTCGCGTACGGTCAATGACACGTTTAAGTGCAAGGTCAATGCACCGTACCGGCTGTTACTAAGAGCTATGTCCGTAGCGCAAGCGCAGGTAAATGTCACGCACGGTCAATGACGGTCACGGTCGAGTGCAAGGTCGATGCACCGGACCGGCTGTTACTAGCTGCTTCTAAGCGCGCAAATTAATAGAATACAATGTATATAGTAATGTAAGCTATAGGTGACTGTGTATAAGAAAATAAGGGCAAAGCTAAATAATAAATGATTTAAAGAGGGATAGAAATGCAGTTTTGAATAGTAAAGAATGAGTTTTTCGGCAACGTTAAGAAATAAGAAAATTGTTTAGTTGGAACGGACTCACTCAAATACAATGCAATACTCCCATAAGTGACATCGGTTCTTCTATGTAGGCTGTGCGACGACTCCACTCCACGAAGAGATACTCGAAGTCCAACTCGCGACCGTTATTCACGACGTGTCGGTCTTCAAATTTCTGACTTGCATATATACAGCTTGGCTCTGCTTAAGACGGCTTGTATACCGGTGCAGAAAGACCATTGATTAGGCCCGGTTAGGGTGGTGAAATGATATCACATTGTGGACTGTATGATTATGTATTTTAGAATATATATTACAAGTGTTAAGAGAAGTGCGTGCGGTACCCAATGCACGGAATGGCCGAGTGAGGTGTCGCGGCAGATCGGGCTCGCTGCCGGCTCGGACGCCCCGCGGCGCCCGCAGACCCCGCAGCTGTCCACTGTCGTCGCTTGCAAGCCAACAGCCCACTGGGCGCCGTGTGGGAGCGGTGCGATAAAACGTTGACACGAACCTGTCCGAGCGAATGGCAGCCGCCCTCATATGTCTCAATGTTTTGTTTCTCGATATCTAACCTATAAGGTTGCGATTTATGCTACGAAATTTATAGTTTTCTTAAATTATACTTGTATATTTGTGATTTTATTATTATTACATTATTTTAGTAAATACGTATGATATAGACAATAGTTTAAACCAAAAATTAATAACAATTTCAGTATAGTTATAAGTAGGAATGTATAGTTAACTCGAGAATGAGAACTCATAGGTAACAAATTGTTTTCTTGAGAATTCAATAGATAACAGTCAATTTGTTACGTAATATCGTCTTTACGAACTGTAACGTGTCAATACCAATTTTCAGATATTAAATAATGTATATGTGGACAGGGAACAATTCCGTATTTGCTTAACATATGCTATTACTATCCACAAATCACAAGGCCTTAGTTTTGACAGTCCTCTTCTCAACATAGGCTCCTCTATATTTAATAAAGGGCATGCTTACGTTGGACTCTCCAGAGTTAAAACCTTAGATGGGGTATGTCTTAACAATTTAGATCCAAGTCACGAGAGCTCTATTGTAGAGTACAACCATCTGTGGACGTTATACCGCCCCGATTTGCCCAAAAATTCCTGCCAAAAAACATAAATGTGAAATGATAGCCGAGTTTAATATTATGATATATACCTTGATTGTTGACTTCTACGACAAAAGAGATGAGATCTAAATGGGTGCCAAGTTCAATGGTCTGTCCTGAAATGTATTTATAACTTTATTTTAAATGCACTTTGTTATATAAAAGATGATAGGGGCAATTGCAAAAAATGGTTAATTGTCACAGACAGTATGAGTGTTTTAACTGGTCTTCAAAGTAACAAACTACATTATAAAACCAATTATATCATAGATAGCATTAAGCAATTATTATATGAGCTCTCATTGGAGTGAGAGAGTGAAAAAAATTACTCACAAACCAAATATTGTAAGTACTAACTGAAATATAATTTTAGAAATGGTTGTTTTTAATTCTATTATTTGGGCTTGTGTAATACTCCAAGATTGAAGTACGGCTCAACTGTATAATATCTACAATCGATTTGAGAGTTGAAAATTTTATGTTTAACAGATCTTGTTATTGTTAAGTAGTCTACTCACCTACCTAAACGTTTCATGTTTTCCTCTTCTACTCATTCTTTATTATTAGTTCTTCCGAAAATGTCTTGCTTTCCACTCCTTCCCATTCCACTGAATTCTATCACAATTCCTATACAGTAACTGGTATCAAGTTATGGAACTCGTTATCTATATTTATCAGAACTGCAAAGTCCATTCATATTTTTAAACGACAAGTAAATGACTTCCTCCTCAATATATAAATTTCAGTTAGTATGGCATTTTAATTTATATTTATTATTATTACTATTTTTATCCAAAAATTCTCATCTCCCCTCTTAAGGAGAGGAGATGGCAACATACCCCCGGCAGAAGCACAGTCGGCCGGGGTTCAGGGCCCCAGGGACAGAAACCGGCGTACAATGCGGGCAGAATCTAACAGCACCGCTTTCTGCATCTTTCCCGGGAGTGAACCGCCCCGGAATCCCAACCGTCTGAGATGTTGTTCCAGACTGGTTGGGATAAGACCGTTCACCGACATAACGATTGGAATGATTTCGGTGGACATCACCCCCCACATTTCGGTCACCTCGTGAGCCAGGTCGAGGTACTTTCTCTTTTTCTCAGTTTCGGCTTTCACGAGGTTCTCGTCATGCGGTATGGTGATGTCCACCAAAAACACCCTCGAAAGTGCCCGATCCATCACCACGATATCAGGTTTGTTCGCAAGAACGGTCCTGTCCGTGATGATGGATCGGTCCCAGTAGAGCTTGACGCTGCCGCTTTCGAGGACCGGCTGGGGCTCGTACTTATAGTACGGCAACCTCTCATTCGCGAGGCCGTACTTCAGAGCTAGTTCTTGATGGAGTATTTTGGCTACCTGGTTGTGTCTGTGCAAGTACTCAGTGTTGGCAAGAGCTGAACAACCCGAAAGCACATGTCTGAGTGACTCTCCGGGATGGCGACATGCCCGACAGATGTCCTCAGTGCCATCCTTCAGAATGTGCTTTCGGTAATTGTTCGTCTTAACCACCTGATCCTGTATTGCACAGACAAAACCCTCGGTCTCTCCGAAGAGATCACCGAACTGTAGCCAGTGCACGGAGGTCTTCGTGTTGACGTACGGCCCGTGAAGGGCTTTGAAGAACCTTCCGTGCAACTCCTTCTCTTTCCACACGGCCTCCCGCTGAGAGGTACCCAGGACTTCGGGTTTTCGCCAGTCCTCTTTAGCCAGAGAAAGAGGGGTGAATCCTTTGTCACATTCTATGACTTCTCTATGCAAACCCTCGTCTCTTTTCTCCAGAAAATATGTCCTGAGGCTGTCAATCTCGCGGTTGTGCATGGTCTTAACGCTTAACAAGCCTCGACCACCAGCCTTCCGCGGGATGTACAGCCTCATGATTGACGATTTCGGGTGATGCATTCTATGGAGGGTCATAGTTGTGCGGACTTTCCGATCCAGGGCTTCGAGTTCGGTTTGAGACCATCTGAGCACGCCAAAAGTGTAAAGGAGTACGGGTATGACCCAGCCGTTATATGCTCGGATCTTATTGACACCCGACAAGGAACTTTTCAGTACTCTCGTAAGGCGCGCAAAAAATTCCTCACGGACTGACTGTTTCATATCCGTCTCCCTCACACCGATGTTTTGTGACATGCCCAGATACCGGTATGTTTCAGCGTCGGAGAGGGTTTTGATGTTGGAGGGATCTGTAACGATCCCTTCAGTTTGATTGACCCGTCCCCTCTGCACATGGAGAACCGCGCACTTGTCTATTCCGAGTGCCATCCTAACAGAGCTGCTATAATCGTTTACAATATTTAACAGCTCTCTCAGGCGTTCGACACTCGGAGCTAGTAGTTTCAAGTCATCCATGTACAGAAGGTGAGACACTCGTGTACCTCCTCTCCGATACTGAAATCCAGTCCCCGAATTCTCCAGTAAAGTACTGAGAGGATTCAGGGACAGGCAAAACCAAAGTGGACTCAAACAATCGCCCTGGAATATTCCCCTCTTAATCTCAATCCGGTCAGCGGTATCCGTTAATCGCTCGCCCTGGATAGACAGGATCGTCGTCCATTGCCCCATGCATGTCTCCAGGAACACCCGAACCGTACCGTCGATCTTGTACAGCTCGAGTATCCTCCGAAGCCATGAGTGGGGCACGGAATCGAACGCCTTTTTATAGTCTATCCAAGCAGCGGAGAAATTCCGACGGTTCCGCTTAACCACTTGGCCAGCGACAGCATCAATGAGGAGAAGCTCCTTCGATCCGCGGCTACCGCCCCTGCATCCGTTCTGAGCGCTAGATAGGATCTTGTTTTCGTACACATGACGAGAGATCTTAGCGCTCAGAACAGATGTTAACGTCTTATATATTGTCGTAAGACAAGTTATGGGGCGATATTTAGATGGATCCGCGGTATCGTCCGTCTTAGGAGCTAAATGAGTGATCCCGGTTGTAAGGAAGTTCGGGAGCGCCCTGTTTTCGAGGGCACTCTGGAATTGCACGGCTAAGGTTGCATGGCTGGCCGAGAACGCCTTTAACCAGTAGTGTTGCAATCCGTCGATTCCCGGACTTTTCCAGTTCGGAGCCCGACGGATCGCAGCAACCACGTCCTCCTGCGTAATGGCAATGACGTTCATCGGTGTTATTCGAGCACATGCTTCCTCAACACCGTGCATCCATGCGCCCTCCTCATGTTCCACAGGTTCAGACCACAGCTGTCACCAGAAGGCGACGAAATTGGCTGTTTCGGGTCTTTGTCCTGTGGGCTGTAGTTTTGGGCGCTCCAAGTTTCTATAAAACTTCCGTTGATCACTCATAAAGAGACGATTCTGTTGATACCTCTCGACCCTCTCAGAGTACCGTCGGAGTCGCTTCCCCCATGCAGCGACCTTTTGCTTCAGGTCGTCTATACGCTCCGTAAGTTTTTGTCCGAAGTCCGGCTGGAACAGACGTACACCTGTCCCAGCAAAGGCCTTTTTTACGGAGCGCATAATTCTCGGGCGTGTATTGCCCTCCCTGAAGCAGAGCAGTCTGCCAATGAGGACCCTGGCCTGGGTGATCCGTCGCTCAATCCTTCTTTTCCAGGCTGGTTTCGCATTATCCCTTTGGATATTACGTCCAGCCCGGGGCATTTTTGCGCTAGTATATCGGCATACTGCCAATGCAGCGGCAAAGAGGATTGAACTCGTCTCTCCCAGGTCACTGCTGCCCTCAAGGTATTGAGGCAGCAGTCCATTTGCGGCCTCAATGGCATCCCGCGTCGCCACATTTGGATGTAGCCGGGGAAGCTTCGGTCTCTCTTCAAGGGGAGTTCTTCGGATCTCTAGAATCGCCCCTTCTAGTATGCTCCTCATATGCTCTATATCCTGGGAAGTTGTTCCGTCCGCATCCGCTTCTGAAGGCCTTTCGGCAACCATCTCTACGTTAGGTAGCACGTCTGAGATGGGTTGCTCCACGGTCGTGGGGTCTGCTTCTGGAACAACTTCACTTCGCAATCGTTCGAGTTCGGTCGCGCTAAACATACCAGAGCGCTGTATGTACCGAACTCTATCGGCTAGGTTCTGTTCCGAGACGATTAGCTCCGGTAAAAGACGCAGAAACTCGCGGTGCATTACTGCCCTGTATCCTGTTCTGCCTGTTTCCGTCCCTGTAGCCCTGTAGAACGCTCGCATGAGGTCTTCATTCATGGCTCTCGACCATCTCATGCGACGTGTACCACCAGTGGCGGGCGCCGATTGCTGGGCCTGTGACGGCCCTGCCGGTGCCAAGCCAGCTGATGTCGATGGCAAGGGGTCGGACCGGCCAGGTGGTGTGGCCGGTCGGCTGGCTTGCATTCTGTCACGCCTACCGCCAGTTGTAGACGTGCCCCGGCGGCCCCCGGGCAGCGACCCTATTCCGTTTTCTTTATTTATACTCGCCATCTTTATAATTGCCATGGCCCCTTTGGCCGCGTAGGTTTTATATATACGCGTGACCGCCTTTCACGTGAGCTAGATGATCAGCTCGGACGCGGGGTTGGACTTTGAAAGGCTTATTATTATTATTAAAGCTTTATTATTATTATTATTAAAGCTTTATTGTCCATATATTACATATTTTAAGTTAGGATTTTTTTTATATATATATATGGTCCCATGTGGGTAAAAGCCTCCTCCAACTTGTTCCATTTCCCTCTATTCACAGCCACGCTCATCCAGTTTTCCCCGGCCACTTCTTTAATGTCATCAGACCATCTCTTTCTCTGTCGACCTACTCGCCTTTTTCCTGTCGGTCCCCGCCACTTTGTTAGTTGGTAAGTCCACCTTTTGTCTTTGTACCTAGCTACGTGACCTGCCCATTTCCATTTCTGTCTTAGGCCATGTTGAAGTGCATCTTTTATTTTTGTCTTCTCGCGAATGACTGTGTTCCTTATTTTATGTATTCTGCGTAGCTTTGGTATACTTCTCTCCATTACGTGCTGATAGGACAGGACTTTGTTTTTTAATTTTTCCGTATATACCCATGTTTGGCTTGCATAAGTTAAGCTTGGCAGGATGCAGGAATCCATTATTATCTTTTTCATTTTCAAGTTGTAGTTCCCTTTTAGAATTTCTTTCTGTGTCCAGTATTTCTTCTATGTTACATTTATCCTTCTGTCAATTTCATTTTCGTTACTATTGGGGTCAAACGAAACCATTTTACCCAAATACACATAGTCATCCACATATTCTATTTCTATTCCATCTATTTTGATTGTTTGTTTGTAGCTGTTAGTCATAATTTTTGTTTTTGAAGAATTCATATGAAGACCTATCCTTCTACTCTCTGCATCTAAATTATTTAGCATTTTGTTTAAGTCTGTGGCCGTTTCACTAAAAAGAGCTATATCGTTTGCGAACCTTAAATGGGTTAGCCTTTTATTCAATATTTGTATTCCTTTGTTTCCCCAAATAATGTTTGTAAAAATTTGCTCAAGTACCGCTATGAACAATTTAGGAGAGAGAGGATCCCCTTGTTTCACACCTTTTTCAATTGGGAATTCTTTACCCAATTTTTCTAATTTGACTCTACTTGTACTTTTGGAGTAAATGTTCTTTATAATGTTTATGTATTTTTCGCTTATGTTATTACTTCTTAATGCTTCCCATATAGATGAATGTATTAAGCTGTCAAATGCTTTGGTATAATCCACAAATGCTATGTATATTGGTTTGTTAAACTCCTTGTATTTTTCGATTATTTGTTCCATAGTATGTATATGGTCAATTGTCGAGTAATTTGGCCGAAACCCTGCTTGTTCTATGGATTGATTTTTATTAATTTCTGGTGCTATTCTGCTAAGAATAATTGACGAGAAGAGTTTGTAAGTTGTTGTTAATAAACTAATGGGCCTGTAATTACCAATGTCAAGTGGATTCCCTTTTTTGTAGAGTAGTATTATTGTGGATTTGCACCACTGTGTTGGTACTTGTTCCTGTTTTAAGATTAGGTTAAACAGATTGAGTATAAATTGTACTAGCCATTGTGCTCCGATTTTTAAAGCTTCATTGGAGATTCCATCTGGACCTGGACTTTTTTCAGGTTTTAGTTTCTTAATGTGACTCAATAGTTCACTTTCTGTTATTGGATCCCATGTTATTGTAGTTTGGTCATCATTGAACCCAAAATTACTTTTGCCCGCTATGGTTTTTGCTTGTGGAGGTCCTTTGTATAGGTTGGTATAGAATTCCGTTGCCCTTTTCATTATATCTGACCTGTCTCTAACTTCTTTAGACATTCAATCCAGGTTTTATGAGTTGCCAATTCTTTAAAAGCTCTTTTTGAGCTGCGGTAAGTTGTCATATTTCTTTCTATAACTGATTTTCTGTATGATTCATAGTCTTTTCTAATTGCTCTGTTACAATTTTTAAACAGCTGCTTTAATTTTTCTTTCCTTTCTTTAGATTTTAATTTACTTTTCAATAATTTTGTTCTTTCGGAAATGAGATTAAATGTTTCTTCACTAATAATTTTGTCTTTTTACCATCGCATCTTTTATTTTCACTGAGTATAAGGCTTCTTGAGATTGTTTTTTCTAATTCGATACTTAGTATTAGTATATTGTCAGAGTTCTCCATAGATTTGTATAACTTTGTTGAGTTCTGTTTTAGGTTTTGTATGTAGCTATTTTTGTCACAAGTGTACTTTAGCATGTTGGGTATGGACTTGAATGTCCTACGACTAGCTTTGCATGTCTGTATTTTTAGAGAACATCTTACAATTCTGTGGTCAGATGGGAAGTTAAGATTGTTTAGTATCTCTATGTTCGCTACTGATTTTGGGTTGTGACTTAGTATGAAGTCTATTTCATTTTTTGTTTTTTGATCTGGAGATAACCACGTCCACTTTCTGGATTTTTTTCTTGATAAAATAAGTGTTCATTATTGATAGTTTGTTTTCATATGCAAACTGTATTAAACGTTCTCCCCTCTTATTACGTTTTCCGTATCCATACTTTCCCATTATTATATTTTCGTGCGGCTGTGGATGTCCTATTTTTGCGTTGAAGTCTCCCATAATTATTAAGGTTTTATCAGCTAATTCTTGTGCTGTCTTTAAGTCATTGTAAAATTTGTCTATTTCTTCTTCGCTGGAGCTCTCGGTAGGAGAATAGACTTGAATTAGAGATAGTGGTATGTTTAATCGTCTTTGGTAATTTAGTTTACATAGTTGTCACTAGATGGCGCTGTTCAATTTCTACAACGCGATATTGTTTCGTTTTGTAGTTACTGACGCGTTGTAAGATTGATTATTGGTTGGCGACTTTTGATCAGATCACATTAATGTATATATTGTTGTATTATTGTAGTAATTACGATCCCATTAAACTTGTGTTGAAAATTAAAGTGTTTTTATTCTCCTGACTTTCATTAAAGTAATGGAAGTGTACTTGTGAAGCATCGGCGAGTGTACATATGGTCCTTCGAGCCGGATCTAGCATTTGGAATATAATACGTCACGAGTTACTCATTCACACCCAAGGGCGCAGTGGATTGTTGTCAAGGACGAGGCACATTGTGCAGTTAATAAGGAATACATGTACATATGTTGGAGTTTGTGTAACGTTGGAGTAACGGTGCAACCTGACGGCGTCCTGCAGATGCAAAGCGGAGCGCTAATCTATGGATGGAGCAATGAACGGAGCGGCAAGCAAAAATATATCTAAGTAGAAGTGTTAAGTGAGTGTTTTACCGGATAATCTGTGAGTACATTTAATTATATTCAGTGTTAGTAATTTTCAACCTTATATGTTCATGTGAAATAACTTTGAAAAAATATTAGATTTTGCAAAATAGTTCAAGTTAAATCAGAGACTGAATAATTACGAAAAAAAAGGGTTACTACGGGCGATCCATGCTGAATGTCACATTAATAAATAGTGAACTAAAACATTTGAAAAAATTCAAGAAATTTCTACTGGGACTTGTAAAATCGTCATATTTAAACTATTTAGTATCAAAACTTGTCATAATTATTGCAGTTGCAATTTACAATTATATATTATAAGAATAATAGTAAGGTTATTTGTGTGAAATAAATTTGTAACAATTTGTTAGTTAAAATATACTGAATTTTCTATGCATTGTTAAAGTAATTTGAACTTTTCATATTGCAATTTGGATTTAGAGCATAAATTTATAACGAGTACCTATATTTTGTACATACACAAAATATTCTAATTATAGTGCATAAAATATTATTATAGACTAATTACAAGGTATTGATCATAAATTTACATAATGGATTCTTTGATAAAGGTTCAGATTAACTCTAACAAAACAATAAGTAAGGCCAGAAGTAACTTTAAAAAGTCACCCAAAGATCGTTTGACTGTATCATACATAGAAACGCGGCTTGAAGCTTTAGAATCACAGTGGTCTTCATTTGTAGATATTCATAATAAACTTATAGCTAATTATGATGAGGAGGAATTAGAAATTAGTAAGTATGTCACCTGTAATATTTATGAAGTTACCCAAGAATTATTTTTTGATTACAAGTCTTAAAGATAAATTAAATGAAATTAAACCTAATATATCCATAATTTCTAAAATAAATAATAGTTCTAATGAACAAGCTCATAGTGTCAGATTAGCTAAAATTACTATCCCCATGTTTTCAGGCAGTTATTCAGATTGGACTAGCTTCAGAGATCTGTTTATGTCTCTTGTACACACTAATAGTGCATTGGATAATGTACAAAAATTACATTATTTAAAAACCCATCTATCAGGAGAAGCTGAACAACTATTAAGACATGTTCCTGTAACTAGTGATAATTATCTTGTTTGTTGGAATCAGTTGGAAGCTAGGTACAATAATAAACGATATATTGCAAATTCAATCTTAAAAAGATTTATGAGTCAAAAGAACATTACATATGAGTCATCAAATACATTAAAGGAACTATTAGATACAAGTAATGAATGTATAAATGCTTTAACTAATTTAGGCCTTCAAACTGAAACTTGGGATATTATTATAATTCATATTTTGTCTCTTAAGTTGGATACAGAATCTCGAAAATTGTGGGAATCGAGATTAAGCGATAGTACTGAATCTTTACCAACTTATAAACAATTTTCTGAGTTTTTAAATCAAAGATTTAGATCACTTGAATTTTTGGATACTAGGTTAACTAAAAGTATTATTAAAACAAAAGCGCTGCATGTTACTGAAATAATGAAATGTCCATTTTGCTCAGATAATCACAGATTATCTAATTGTAAGAAATTTGTAAAGGAAGAGCCAGAAGCACGTCGTAGTTTCGTGCAAACTCAGGGATTTTGCTTTAATTGTTTTGGCTCTAACCATTCTGTATATTCGTGTCGTGTACCATCCAAGTGTAAAATTTGTCAAAGAAAACACCATTCGTTGCTACACATGAATTCTATGTCTAAAACAAGAGACAGTGTCAATCCACAGAATTCACCAGGAGAAGAAGAACAAAATATTGTTAAACCAGAAATTATAGAAGAAGATGAAACAACCGAACGTATTACCACATGCCACATCAATATGCAAGGCCACATTTTACTGCCTACTGCATTAGTGGGGGCAATGACAAAATCAGGTACATATCTAACACTACGGTCATTATTGGACCAAGGATCGCAGGCTTCGTTCATAACGGAGTCAGCAGTTCAACTTCTTGGACTGCAGAAGAAAGCAAGTAAAAGTTATGTATCTGGATTAGGAAGTGATCGGGATTCCGTTGTGACCTCACAATGTGTGGTCAATATTAACATACAATCACTAATTAATCCAAAATTTGTTACGCAGGTCAAAGCCCATGTTTTGAAAGAAATTACCACATTGCTGCCGGATAAGGAAGTTCCTGTGCAGAGGTGGTCAAGTATACCAGATGTAAGGTTAGCAGATCCTACTTATAATATGCCTAATAAGATTGATATACTTCTAGGCTCAGATGTATATTATCAAGTTATTCAAGAAGGTTTAATTAGATGCGGACCAGATATGCCAGTGGCCCAAAATACTAAACTGGGATGGATATTATCTGGTAAGGTACAATCTGGTATTAAAAGAATAAAAAACTTTCATAGTTCTGTCATATGCATGCATGCTATAGTTAAGGAAACAAGTATGCTACAAAAAATCGAAAAACAGCAAGTTAAACAAAAAATAAAAGTAAAAGAAATAATTGAAGTTAAAAAATATAAGGGAATCGAAGCAAGCAAGATAAAAAGAAATAATAAGGGAAAATATATTGTAAAAAATCCTTTTTGTGACCAAGGTTTTCATAGTCAATATACTAAACCATTGGAAAAGAGATTACCAACATTATCTAAGTTAATACATCAATATGGAAATGAAGTCATGGAGTATAGTAAAATTAAAAACCTCCTAACTCATGTAGAAAGTAGAATGATGAACATTACTATAATATATCTTAGGTTGACAGGTTATACTCTCTATGATCAGTTAAGTACTGGAAATCTGGAAAGAAAAAGATTTTGTGTTAATATAAAAAATTCATTAGAAATAAAGAGTTTTAAAGATAAAAAATGGAAAGTTAACAGTAGTTCTGTGCAGATGATGGATGATAATAACAAAAAACCAATGTATGGGTTAAAAATTGATATGTTAAGTCTTACCTGTAATCAGGGTGATTTAATAATTACTATACAGATGTTGGTTATAACTAATTCAGTAATAAACTGTAAAATAACTAAATTAATAAAATTGTTGAAATGGTTTGTCTATAGAAATGTATGCAGTACTGCACTACCTGAAAAATTATATAAAAAATGGATTACTTACCAAAATGATGTGTTGATGCTGCAAATCACCAAGGCTGAAAGATTAAATACTTACCAGAATAATATTCGAGGATTTATCTGTGAGTTTACATTCTTAACTGGTCCTGGATGGCTGAAAAAGAAAAGGATTAAATTAAACAGAGAAATGATGCATGAAATGAAAATATGAGATTTAATTATATTGATGCTAGTAATTGCAGTGAACGTTAAATATAAATTTATATAAGTTTAGTAATTAATAAATGAAAGTGATTGAAGAAATACTTACCCTTTTAAATATTACTTGTTCCGTTGAATAAAGAGTCGAAGATTTAATTACACATGTTGGCGTCTTGAGAAATGTTGTTGGCTAACTGTACTGAGACAAGCAGTACACAGTAGTACATTGACATACACAAGTTTATGGATGGTACAGAACCTTTATATGTTTTTAAAAAAAATTTTTCATGAAAACTTAGTATAATTGTTTAGTTTTTTCAATAAGTTTGATCTAAAGAAGGATGATATTGAATCAATTAATGAGTGTTTTTTGTTATTAAAGAAGTTTAAGTATAGATTAAGTTTTAGAAGGATTATAGTTATAATATGTTGTGTGTATGTTCTCTCTAAAGAATTTATGTAATTGTTGTGTTTTTTGTTTCTTTTCTCACCATGAAGCATTAAAGATTTGTTTACAGTCCACTAAGTATTTGTATAGAAGTTCATGGTGGGCGGGGTGATGGACATTCTGTCCATGGTGGGCGGTATGTTTAATCGTCTTTGGTAATTTAGTTTACATAGTTGTCACTAGATGGCGCTGTTCAATTTCTACAACGCGATATTGTTTCGTTTTGTAGTTACTGACGCGTTGTAAGATTGATTATTGGTTGGCGGCTTTTGATCAGATCACTTTTTTTTTTTGTGGGTAGCTGCACATCTATACACTCAAATAAAAAGTGCTCTCAGATTATACTAATAAATAATTATTATATCTATATTTTTTTAAGTTTTTATATGTCAAACTACAAGAGATAGTGTATTTCTACCTGTACCAGTAACATTGACTCCTTCCAAAAACTCACTATGGACGCACTACAAGGTACATTTTTCAGTATGATGGAACAATTAAACGAAAAGATGGCTGTCTTTCAAAATGATTTGCAAAAGATTAGCACAGCACCAAGCACCACACCAAGCACTGTGTCTTCGATAACTGCTGACTTTGCAGTTTTCCAAACATTCGTCACAAGTACATTCTGCAACCTTCAGCAACAGCTTGAACTGCTAGCTAACCAGATGGACCAATTTGAGATGCGAAGTCGAAGAAAGATCTTGTTATTACATGGGGTACAAGAGTCCAGTGGCAGTAATACTTCGCAAGATGTAGTCAAAGTTGTTGCAGACAAATTGAAGATTCCAGGCTTCACTGTAGTTAACATCAGCAGATGTCACCGAGTGGGACGAACATCTGGTGACAAGCCTCGTCCTATCCTGGTAAAATTTTCAGATCTTGCTTTACGGAATAAAATCTGGTTTGCTAAGACTGGGCTCAAGGATACTGGTATCACAGTCTCTGAGTTTTTAACTAAAGGGAGACACGAGGCTTTCATGTGCGCTCGACGCCACTTTGGTATTAAGAAGTGCTGGACACGCGATGGATTTGTGTTTATCGCCGGAGATGACGGCACAAAACATCGGATCACCACCATAACGGAGGTAAACAAACTTATAGGCACTCTTTCTGCCGCTGCTGTGGTTGCGCCGGAAGCTGTCAGTTCGGTTACACCAGAAGCTAGAGGGTCAGTTGCACCGAAGGTTTCTGCTGCGGTAGCGGCCCGCAACAAGCGAGTCGCTAGAAGGTGATCGTGATTGAGTGTTTGTGATGTTCCTTCTTATACTGTAATCATTTAAGTAATGTGAGTTCTATGTAAGCATATCTAGTTTCAAAACTGTTCGTAACTTCCTCTTATTTTACTTTTATTGAAATGTAGGTAGTTCATGGTTTTATTACTGAATTAATACGTAACTCACTTCACATTTCTATTTTATTTACTTTTTTTCCTAATTTTTGTTATTGTTATTTTATTCTTGATATACATGTTGACGTTCCTGATAGTTTGGTTTGACAACTTAATAATTAATCACTGACATCTGTCATACGTCATGTTATATGTCAAAGACCGCGAAACATTGTAAGAGTCACATTATTAGAGGAGGAACTTGAAATCACTACGTTTATCTCTTTCACTTCGATCTATGTAATTTCATACTGCCATCAATCATAGACATCGAATCTATGATTAAAAATTATTTTTTATCGTTATTTTACCTTGTTCTTACTACTTTACTTACTTACTTTTACTTAATACTACTTTTTTTATATGCAATGTTAAGTTAATTGTTGAATCAAAACTTACTTGTAATATCGTACCGAATTGTAAAAATGTGTCCATATCTTACTGTTCAACTGGCGGGTAGAGGTACTGTCTTTGTATTTTTTTATTATTATTATAGTTAGGTATATCTTAATTTATTGTTATTGTATATTATTGATTTATTTTTTATAAGTATATATTTGTGCAAGTAATGATGTCAATGATGCAAAACGAAAGTTTTCACTCCGCTTCTTCTAGCGTTAGTGACACCAGCTTTTATAGTTTACCTACTCCCTTAGACGAAATTCTGCAAGCTGAGTTTGCCACTGTAAATAAAAATTTTAATGTTGTGCATATTAATGCGCAGAGCATTCCTGCTCATTTCCCAGATATGCTGGCGTCTTTTGATGTCAGTAATATACATGCTATTTTAGTATCTGAATCTTGGCTGAAGCCTTGTCTCCCATCTTCCTGTTACTCATTGCCTGGCTTTGCTCTTATCCGAAACGATCGTATTGGTAAGGGTGGTGGTGGTGTTGCTATCTACCTGCGTTCACATATTCCATACAATATAATTTCTTGCTCAAGTAGTAACAATCCCTCCACTGAAGCAGAACACCTTTTCACTGAAGTCAGTCTTTCTCATTCCAAAATCCTCCTAGGCGTTGTCTATAGTCCTTCTCCTACAATTGATTACTTTACTCCTTTAGAAAACCTGTTAGAGAATATGATCCCATCCTATGAGCACACAATAATTTTAGGAGACTTTAACACTTGTCTTATAAAAAACGATTATCGCTCACATCGTCTCCGCTCTGTAGCTAATTCCTGTAACCTTACTATCCTACCCCTGCATGCCACGCATTACTTCCCTAGCTGCAAACCTTCCCTTTTAGATCTTATCCTCGTCTCTTCTCCTAATCTCGTTGATAAACATGGTCAACACACTGCGGATGCCTTTTCATTTCATGACCTTATTTTCCTATCTTTCAGAATACGTCCTCCAAAACGCAGACATAAAATCCTCTTGCAGCGTAATTTTGGTGCTATCGATTTAAATCTTTTGCGTGAGGATGCCCTGGGTATTGATTGGACCTCAGTTCATAATACAGCATCTGTCGAAGATCAGGTGGAGATGTTTAACAAAATTGTCACTGACCTATATGATCGCCATGCTCCTGTTCGACCTATTCGTGTGAAGCATCTACCTGCGCCGTGGTTAACAAAGGAAATCAGGGACATCCAGGCCATAAAAAACAAGGCGAAAGCTAAATTTAAATCTGACCCAGATAAATATCGAGAACAATATATCAAAGCTAGAAATCACTGCAATAAGGTGTGTAGAGAGGCACAACGTCGCCATATTCATAAATCTGTCGAGAATGGTAATCCAGCCAGAGTCTGGAAATATCTCAAATCTCTAGGAGTTGGTAAAAATCGTAATTCTATCAACAGTTCTTTCGATGTCGACTTAGACAACCTTAACAGGGACTTCTCATCTTCCGTTGTTATTGACAACAACATTAAAACAAATACATTAAATTTCCTTTCAACTACACCAACTCCTGATTATCCATGTTTCAAGTTTAGTCAGGTTACTAATTGTGATGTTGAGAAGAGCCTGTTATCTATCCACTCTGATGCCATGGGTACTGATGGTGTTGGTCGTGCTATGGTCCACCCCATCCTTGATATTATCCTCCCTAGTATTTCCGCTATTTTCAACAACTCACTATCCTCTAGTTTTTTTCCTCCCATTTGGAAAGATGCCTATATTATTCCTCTTCCCAAAAATAGTAAGCCATCTTCTTTTTCCCATTACCGTCCTATCTCAATTCTTCCTTTTCTTTCTAAAGCCCTTGAACGACTTGTCCATGATCAGCTGAGTAAATTCCTATCAAGAAATGACTTATTAAATCCACTCCAATCAGGTTTTAGACCTGGCCATAGTACGACCACTGCTTTAGTTAAAATCACTGATGACATCCGGCACGGAATGGATAATTTGCAACTAACAGTTCTTACATTACTGGACTTTAGTAATGCGTTTAATTCTGTAGATATTGACATTCTGTTAGCACGCATGCGTTCAATCAACATATCTCCAATGGTAACTGACTGGTTTCGTAGTTACCTGTATGGGCGCCGGCAACGTATACGTATCGACAATACCCTTTCATCGTGGTGTCACACTTCTGCCGGCGTTCCTCAGGGTGGCGTCTTATCTCCTCTTCTTTTCGCGTTATTCATTAACTCTATCACCATGCAACTTCATTCCTCATACCACCTTTATGCAGATGATCTTCAGATATATACACAAGCTTCGTTAAGTGACATTACTACTGCTATACAGACAATTACTAGAGATCTGGACGTAATATCTGACTGGTCTAAATCTTTCGGTTTGGCGTTAAACCCGGCAAAAACTCAGACCATAATTATCGGCAGCCCACGTTACATAGCCAAAATAAATTGGAGTACCCTTCCGCGAATAGAGTTGGATGGAGTATGTATTGAGTATAGTGACAGTGTCAAAAATCTCGGCATCCACTTTGACAGAACATTGTCATGGTCAGTTCAAATGGCTGAGGTTAGTCGGAAAATTTTCATGGCCGCAGGCTCACTCAGAAGATTGGGTAATTTCCTGCCCATAGACACCAAAATTTCGCTTGCACACACCTTACTTCTTCCTATCCTCGATTATGCCGATACCTGCTACCTAGATCTCACCGAAGTCCAATTAAATAAACTTGAGCGCCTTCAAAATATTTGTATTAGGTTTATATTTGGACTACGCAAATATGACCATGTCTCTCAGTTTCGTTCACAGCTCAAGTGGCTCCCTATACGTCTACGCCGGGACTGGCATATCCTCTCTCTTCTTTATTCAATTCTTTTTAACCCTGCAACTCCTTATTATCTCAAAGAAAAATTTGTATTTCTCGGTGAGGCACAAAATCATGGCTTACGCAGTGCAACAAACCTATGTCTTAAAACTCCTTCCCATACTTCCTCCTTCTACACCAATTCTTTCGCTGTGTACGCCGTGCGACTGTGGAACTCACTACCATCCTCCATACGTAGCGCTCAATCATTAGCTATTTTTAAAAATGCTGTAAAATCACACTATCTCTCTCATTAAATTGTCTTTCTACTTTCCTTTCCTTTCTACTAAATTGTCTCTTTCTTATTTGCACATTGCTTAGTTACTGTGTATTATTACTATTTTACTTTTTTAATTTTATATTTATATTTATATTATGTATAATGTATGTATATTTATTTATGTTATGTGTGTATATATATATATATATATATATGGATATATATGACATATTACTATTATTATTCATGTCCATTCATTCTATCTTGCGCCATCCACCACCTTCTGTCTTTTCTCCTCTACCCAAAGGTTGTCTGGAAGAAATCGCTTTAGCGATAAGACCGCCTTTTGTGCCTAGCCTACCTTTCTGTACATTATGAATATTGTTTTTTCTTTGGATTGTTTTTAAGGTGCAATAAAGAGTTATAAATAAATAAATAAAATAAATTAATGTATATATTGTTGTATTATTGTGGTAATTACGATCCCATTACACTTGTGTTGAAAATTAAAGTGTTTTTATTCTCCTGACTTTCATTAAAGTAATGGAAGTGTACTTGTGAAGCATCGGCGAGTGTACAGGTATGTTATTCAATTGTAGTTTAAGTAATGCTACTCTCTCGGAGATACCCAAAAAATTCACGATGTCCGATTTAAACGATTTCTTTATTAGAAAGCCCACGCCATGTAATCCAATTATTTCGCCTATATAGCAGAAGATATAGTCTTTGTGTTCCTCTATATGACAACCAATTTTTTTCACTTCTGCGAGACCTATAATGTCCCAATTTATATGTTTAATCGCATTGTTGAGTTCCAAAAATCTCGATGTTGTAGCAAGTGATCTTACATTGTATGTGCATATTTTTAAGGTTTGTTCTTTTTTTATCCTGTTTAATATATTGATGTTTTGTTTCTTAGCATTTGTTGGAGGGTGATAGTCTTCTTCCCCCACGGTGACCAGCCGGCTTGGGGTGCAAGTTAATGTTGTTTTATTGGGTGTTAGTAATTCTTTATTGTTTGGGTTCCAGTTGCCGGCATTACTTGTTAGTTTTTTGATGATTCTGATAAGGAATAAGATCTTCCACGTGCCATATAATTTAGTATATTTGGTTTTAGTATTTCTTTTGCAACATTTACAGATGACATGATGGTTGAGTTTGGACTGCTGTTAGTCAGCTGCTTCTTTGTGTAATTTTTTGTAACTGGTGATTCTGATTTATCTCTTTTCCTCTTCTCACGATTATTTTCATTTGCTTTCTTTACTATCAGCTTGTCGTACTTTAAGTAAGCTATGTTTCCCTTCTTTCTTTCCTCCTCCAGTTTCGGTTGAAGTTCCTTTCTGGTCACGAGTACCTCTCTGGAATAGTCTTCTTTAAGATAGATGCCTTGCGGAAGGTTAGTCTTGTTTTGTTGCACAAGGTGTTTTTTCCATTTTGTTGTAAAGGACACCACTACTGGTCGATTTTTGTTTGAAGGGCGACCAATTCTATATAAATTTGCTATCTCTTGGCTTTCCAAATGTATCCATATCTACTACTGTTTCTTTTAATTGATCCACTAATTCAGTTTCACTTTGTCCTTCCTCTTTTATACCAAAAAATACTAAATTATTTTTTCTTTTATCCCTTTCCATAAAGTTGATTTTTTCTTCTAACTTTGTAATTCTTGATTTTAGGGTGTTATTTTCCGTTACAAGTGATTTCATCTTCTCATCTAAGGCTTGCATTATATTTTTTGTAACTTCATTAGATATTACTGTAGCTTGTAGATTAAGTTTCTCCTCTAATTTTGAAAATAGTAAATCCATACTTTTTTCCATATTAATTTTAGTCTATTTTAGCCGTATACGGAGGTAGAAGCTGGCAACACTACGAGTGTCGGTCTATTGCCGTAATGTTGATAGTATTGATAAGTCTTCTATAATCTATGATCTCTGGTGCTGTGTCACTGTCAAATGTCACTGTTTAGGTTATGTTAACCACAATTGTAGTTCTTATTTTTCTCAATAACACTATTATTACACCGTATTTTTTTATAAATCACAAACTTTTCTGATTTTAGTGCAAAATTATCACTGTTTTATGAGAGTTTGACTGTTTTTTTCACTGATTTTTATTATTAATGGCTGAGCTCACTGACGTATGTGTTTATAGTTAGAAAACCGGAACCGGAACCTTTAATTTATATTTAGTTTATTCTATTTAACTTTAAAATTATGTATGTAGTTTATGTAAGTGTATCTAGTTTAATATATGAATATTATTGTGTACATAAATTTTAATTCATATAATATTTATTATTATTTTCCTTTATCATCATTATATATTTGTTACATTTTAGTTTTCTCCTGTTCAGGTCATTTTACCTACCTGTTCGGTTTTTCAATCCGTTTCCCTAAGGTTGCCTTGAAAAGATTGCTTTTAGCAATAAGGCCGCCTTATTGTAACGATACTTGTCCTTTGTTATATTATTTGTGCTTCTTCTCGACTATATGTTGCAAATAAAGTATATTCTATCTATCTATCTAAATTACTACCTAAAATTTCAACTTGCGGAAAGTCATAGTTTTCGAAATATTAATTTTTGAAATTTTAATTAGAATATGTGAAACTATAGTCGTATTTTTAATTAGACGAAGCTAACTGACAGTAGCTAATGTCACGTTGTAAAATAATGTTGCTATATTTAAAGTAATAGTGATGCGTTCAGTTCTAGGTCAGATGAATGAACAATGAGTGTGACTAGTTAATCATTTCAAACTACACAATAATATTATTTCTATTTTACAATAAAATTGTATGAAAGTGCTCTGATATAAGTTACTAGTGTTATGTAACTATAATCAATTATTTGACAGCTTATTACAAAGCGCACTGTTGGCACTAGTAGCCACTAGTGCCAACACCGATCAACGTCGCGAGCCTCGGTTGCTCGTAATTCGGCTTCTAACCTCCTGAGAGCACGAATGTATTTTTTTGCACTCACACTGTTTTGTTATTGTTTTTGATAAGTTTTTCCTTCTGTTGTGTTTGTGGTAATAGTTGGGTATATTGTATATTTGCTATATTGTTTCGTACCAATGTATCCTCCTCATGGATGGATGGAAAAGGATCCTTAAACAAGCATGTCAAGCCAAAGCTTGTCTCCAAGAAAGAAGAGACCACGTATTGCTTTAAGCGTTACCGAAAAACTTATGATACAAAACGTCTACAAACACATATTTGAGGAGAAAGCTGCTTCACTATTACCTATTGAGGCTCCTGAAAAAAAGAATGTATTTAAAAAACAGCTGACATTTTGGGAATTGGTGTGACCTCAGTCTACAATGTATTAAAAGGATACAAAGAAAATGACCATTTAAGTCTCTGGAGAAACGTGGACTGAAACACTGTTTCAAAGATAAATTATTGTCAATTTTTCAGACAGATTTATAATCAATGTCACTGAAAGCAACAATGATTTTTTTATCATATGATGATTAAAAACAAATTTTGTAATAAGCCAAGTTTTTTATTTTTATTACCTAACTATATTATGTTATATATTTTATACATCTATAGTTTTAACTACATGATGTATTGTAAATAGGACAGTCTTAAAAGTTTCCTTGCAATTTTTTTCTTCATGTTTCAAATACTCTGTATTCAGTATAGGTAGATACTAGAGGTTCCTCTAGATAGGTAGATAGTTGTCGAAAACTTGTTGGTATGTATAAAGTACGGCTAAAATTCGAACCCCGCACCCGATATCGGCAGTTCGTAACACTAACTATTCACTAGACTAGACAATCGAGGCAATTCCATTAATTCGGGAGTTTTTTCAATTATTCACTTTGTCACAACACTATTTTTATTTCATCAAATACTGACAACACAGTAAACGTCAGTTGACTTCGTCTAATTAAAAATATGACTATAGTTGGTAAACACTTTTGACATCCGGTCGGCGTTTCGTTATTCGTTACGTAATTTGTGTTAAACTTTTTTAAATAGTTTTTGTGTAATTTTTACCTACTGTACCGTCCCAATCATAAATTGTGCATTTTTTATTCGCTTACCGCGCGTAATGTTTGGAGCGGTCACAATCGTAAGTTGGTTTGCGCGGTGAACCCACGCATGCACTTGGCTTGACATACGCGCGGTCTGTCGTCTCGCAAATCGTGATATTACCGAATAACCAGGATAAATCCAGGAGAATACTCTTCGAAGCATCTCGTTGAAATTAAGGTGGAACCAGAACGTCGCACAAGACTCCATCCAAGTAAGTGCACGTATCCTTCTTATTTATTGTGATCGCTCCTGCAGTGATACCAGAGTGTGGCAGACGATCGAATTCCACCGCCTCACGGTGTCTGCTACATCTCTTTTTTGGTGCCGAAACCCGGGATAATCGTCGGTCGAATTAAAACCCGACCAAACGAAAGTTCATAGTTCAGATCAGCTGTATAAGTTATATTGCACTGGGACGTTACATATTTCGATTAAACATAGAATTATATACATATATATGTATATATTTACTAAATACAATTATTTATAAATCGTTAAATATCATTAAATTTCATTATACGAATTCGGTATCCATTATTCCTAAAATAAGTGGGTATACGGACGCAGTTGTAACTCTCTGTTTGCCATTGTAATGAGTAGGTTTGGTTTGAAGAATTAACTAATAGTTTCACCTGGTTTTGTTATATCGATATTTTATGTTTTTGTAAAATCACAAAAACAATCTTATTCATATTGATGTTTTTATAAATAGAATTCGGCTTGCATAAACATTAAATATAAAATTCCCAATCTGGTTATTATTACAAAATCGTTATATTTAACAATTGTGTGGAATCATATAAACAATCTTATATTTAATCGGTGTTTATATATTAGTATCGGTTCACATAATTGTTGAATGTAAACTATCGAATGATATCGTAATTATAAAATTATATATCCTATACAAACAAGACAGACAAATTCTTAATTGTATTAGTAGTGACAAAAGTAATCATTACTAATAGGAATATTTATTATATTTCTTATGCACCTTTCGTAATAGTGAGAAGTAATAAAAACATTTTTTTTCTCTGTCATAACATTTAACTATCCTATAATAGTAAAACATTTGTAAGGTTTTACATTTGTTATTAATTTCACGGTAACAGTTATCGCGACGTACATATAATTTAGTCGTTCCGTTAAAGAGAGTTGTTTACGTGATAATTTAGGTCATCATACGTTCTATTCATTACTACCCTCAAAATTATTTGTTTTTTTTTGTTTGAATATTCTCGAACATTACTTGTGAGCTGTTGTTATCTATTCGTTTCCATTAGTTTATAAATAGAAATAAATCTTTTCTTTGTTAAAGATGTCGCTCACTACTAAACGTAAACTTAGCCTGTCAAAACGAACTAAATCGAAACATGACGAATATACAACTCGTGATTTGCCTTCCTTGCGACGAAAACGAACTATTGCATTTAACCGTTTATCTAAAGCATTACAAATAGGTAATGACGCGAAGTTGGATGCAACAAAGTTAGATCTATTTTTATCGTATTGTGATGAATTACAAAAAATTACTACCGACTTCGAAAATGCGCATCTTCTTATTTTAGAATTACAGGATGATCCTGAGTCGGATGATGAGGGTGTCCGTGAAAGTTTTGATGATATCTATTTTAACATTTTAGCTTTGCAACGCAATTATACAAACTCAAATTTACCGTCGAAATCGGAGCAAAAGACCTCTTCTCATATAAAACTTCCAAAAATTTCATTAAGAACGTACTCAGGACATATAAAGGAGTGGGCTGAATATATCGATATTTTTAATTCATTAATTAATGATTGTCCGTCTTTAAATAATTTGGAAAAATTCCATTACTTAAGATCATCACTTTCAGGCGAAGCTTTAGCGTTAATACGTTCGTACCCGGTAACCGGTGAATATTATCACGATGCATATAGCGCACTCGTTAATCGTTACAAAAATAAGCGTGACTTAGCATTTACATGTTGGCGCGAAATTTTAAATGTTGAATTTAAAATTAATAATGTTAAAGATTTTCGTCGGTCGCTGGATATGATTGATGAAAACTTGAATATATTAAAACAAGTGAATTTGCCAGTTCAACAGTGGGATTTTATTCTTATTTACCATTTGTTGTCAAAACTTGACACAAAGATGCGTCGTGAGTTCGAAGAAAAATATTCGAATATCGAAATTCCTTCTTATAAATTAGTTAGTGAATTTTTGCATTCTAAGTGTGAAGCGCATAGTCGTGATACACATTTTACCGAACAGAAGCCACATTCAAATTCTCGTGACTTGTCGAATGTTCATGCCGGTACTCATACAAGGCGCATGAACGTTTCGCATACACTCGTAGCAACTAATGAGTCTAAAACCGGTATGGTTACTGGTGCATCGTCGAGTGTCGTTAGATCAGTGTCGTCTAGTTGTCCATTTTGTAGTCAATCACATTCAATTGGTTCATGTAAATCGTTTCTCGAAAAATCAGTAGATGAAAGAATGGCAATTGTAAACGAGAAAAGGTGGTGTTATAACTGTTTGAAATCGTCGCATCAGTTGAAAACTTGCAATTCTGTATTCACATGTCAAAAATGTAAGCGTAGACATCATACATTGTTACATAGGGAAGTAACAAATTCCAGTAACACTTCATCACTGTTAACACAAAATTCAAGTGTTAACACAACTGTCTTGTTAGCAACAGCTCTTGTAACGGTAAAGGACAGTTTCGGGAATAACAATACTTTTCGAGCATTGTTTGACACCGGCAGTCAAAATAATTTTATTACTGAAGAAGCAGTAAATCGTTTAAATCTTAATGTGCTTTCTTCTTGTTCTTCAATAAGCGGCTTGGGTGACGTGTCAGCTTCCATCAGTGGTTTAGTGCGTGGTATCGTAGGAAGCTTATCGACAAATAATACAAACGTATCATTTGAACTTGACATGCACGTCATTCCTAAGATCTGTGGTGACCAACCAATCGCGAGATTGAATACTTCTGGTTGGTCACATATCAAATCGTTAGATTTAGCGGACCCTGGGTTTGATGTACCCGGACCCGTGGATCTGTTGCTCGGTGCAGATATTTTTGCGGATTCGTTACTTACAGAACGACTTAAGGGCGGTCCATCACAACCACCTGCATTTAATTCAGTATTTGGTTGGCTATTACTAGGAAAGACTTCATTATCAGGTTCGTCATTGGTTGCGCTGCAATCAAAGATCCAATATGATGATCTTACAAAATTAGTGGAGAAGTTCTGGGAAATCGATAACGTTCCTCAAGCTAATTCATTTACCCCAGATGACATTCTTTGCGAGAAGGAATATATCGCAACTACACATCGGAATGAGCACGGTCGTTATGTGGTACACTTACCGTTCAAAAATTCTTGTGAACCCGTGTTCTCGGGATCTCGTGATATTGCTGAGAGGCGGTTTTATGCTCTCGAACGTAGATTATCGCGTGACCCTGATTTAAAGCGTCAATACGTTGAATTTATGTTTGACTATCTTCAGAGTGGTCATATGTCATTGGTACCCACTTCAGAAAAGCGTCGCGGAAAATATTATATCCCGCATCACTGTGTTGTACGGCCTGACAGTCCCACCACCCAATTGCGTGTGGTATTTGATGCCTCCGCAAAGGATAATCTTGGTCAGTCATTAAATGATACATTGCTAATTGGACCAAAATGTCAAACTGATATCACGAAAGTTCTTTTACGTTTTCGAGAACACGCTATTGTCTTTATGACGGACATACGCCAAATGTACAGGCAGATTGTTATTAGTCCAACACATCGGGACTACCAGCGCATCTTGTGGCGTTCAGATTCACGACAACCGGTATCAGAGTACAAACTGAACACCGTTACTTACGGTGTTTCATCGGCTCCCTTTCTCGCCTGTCGAACTCTTCAGCAGCTCGCATGCGATGAGGGTGACACATTACCTTTAGCAAAAAGGGCGATTACATACGATATCTATGTCGATGATATTGTTACTGGTGCTAACAATATGATCGAAGCCCGACAGGTGAAGTCACAAGTTGTTGAATTACTCAAGTCTGGGCACTTCGAGTTAAGAAAATGGGCTAGTAACAAACCTGAGCTACTGGACGATGTACTGACTGAGCATTGCCTGGTTGAAGCTAAATCGTTTACTGATGAACAACCATGTACACTGAAGGTTCTCGGACTGAAATGGGATCCATCCCATGATGTATTCGTCTTTCATGTAAAACCTCTTAATAAAATGTGCACTAAACGATCAATTCTGAGTGTGGTTAGTCGGGTGTTTGATCCTTTGGGATTTCTTTCCCCGTTGACGATTCACACCAAAATTTTAATTCAACAACTTTGGGTGGCTGGCATAGGTTGGGATGAAACACCACCGGATGACATAGTTCGCACATGGAATGACTATATTCAGCAATTACCATCGATTCAAAATTTATTCGTGCCTCGTCGGTGTACTATCGATCACGCCGTGTCATATGAACTTCACGGATTTTGTGATAGCTCAGAAAAGGCTTATGGTGCTGTGATCTATTTGCGTGTTACTGATAGTAGCGATCGTGTACACACGTTTTTTGTATGCTCCAAGGCTCGCGTAGCTCCTTTAAAGAAGCTCAGCTTACCACGTCTAGAATTATGTGCGGCAGTATTATTGGTGAATTTGCTCAAATTCGTGGAAGAGGCATATGCTCCGCGTATTAATTTCTCTGTCACTCTATGGAGTGATTCGACTGTCGTTCTATCTTGGCTTAGATCACATTCATCAAAGTGGACAACTTTTGTTGCAAACCGAGTTAGTCACATACAAGGCATTGCAACGATTGAACGGTGGCGTCATGTTCCTACAAATGATAACCCTGCAGATATTTGTTCGCGAGGACAGCTTCCTCGACAACTTATTAACAATTCGTTATGGTGGGCGGGGCCCACGTGGTTATGTAAACCACACACCGAGTGGCCATCAACCCCTGTATTTGTTAAGGAAACAAATGACAGTACGGTGCTTTCAGAAGTTAGGCGAACCGCGACTCTGTTAACTCAACAGATGGCACATCCTAATCTCGATCCTTTTTTTGAGGATTTACTCAATAGCGATCTCTCGCTGGATGCAATAGTCGATAAGGTAGGCTTCACTATATTACGAAAATCTGAATTTTCTTCGGATTCAGTCTTGACTAGTGAAGAACGGTACAAATCACTTTATATTCTAGTAAAATACGTTCAAACTTTATCATTTCCTACTGAACTGGAAAGAATACGTTCTGGTCAATCATTACCAAAGTCGTTTCGTAAACTCAATATATTTATCGATGACCAGGATGTACTCAGGGTGGGCGGCAGGATCTCTCGTTCTGGGCTTGAGTATGAACAAAAGCATCCGGCGTTATTATCATCGAATAATCCCTTCACATCTAAATTAATACAATCGGTTCATTTGAGCAACTGTCATTGTGGCGTAAATACTACACAATATTTAATACTGCAACAATTTTGGATTATATCGGCTAAGCGCGTTATAAGACGATGTTTATCCAAATGTCTTAATTGTTATCGACTCCAACCTAAACCGTTACAACCGTTTATGAGCGACCTTCCAAAATATCGTGTAAATGAAGTAAAACCTTTCTCTATTGTAGGAGTAGATTATGCTGGTCCGTTTCGTATTAAAACTGGACCATATCGTGGAGCTAAAATAGACAAGGCTTATCTTTGTTTATTTGTATGCTTAGCCACTAAGGCTGTACATTTAGAGACCGTTTCCAGTCTTTCTACAGACGGATTTATTGCTGCTTTACGTCGTTTCGTTGCTCGGAGAGGCAGATGTTCCACAATACACGCAGATTGTGGTACAAACTTTATCGGTGCTCGTAATCAACTCGTGTCTCTCACTAAAATCGCGTCTGAGACAGAACGGATCGAATAGAATAGAATAGAATAGAATAGAAAATCATTTATTCAAATAAACTTAATTTAAGCACTTTTGAATAGTCATAACAATTTGTTTTTTATCTACCACTCGTTCGGAAAACTGTCTCATCACAAGAAGAACGAGCAAGAAACTTGTGTGTTGCTCTTTTAAATAATCCTTGTAAGTTTACATTTACAAGTCGAAACGTGTGAATACAAACTACCAACAAGCACTAATTTTTGGGTCAAATATAAATATGCAATAAGATTACATCAGTCGTAGTGATAAGAGCAGACCAGTCCCTACAAGCAGCACTCGTTCACGAGTATGACGGATGAGCCAGCCATCACTGCGCTCGACCATATTTTAGGGAGCCCATTAACCCGGCCCACCACGCCGCCACATGTCTGGACATTTTAGTGAGCATGACTACTCATTCCACACGACCACGTCACAGCTACAAAAATTACTATATGGTAGTTACAGTATTCGCACTTTACATAAGGATGCATGCGGCAATCAATACAAAAGCCGCTACGCTATCATATATCAAGAAAGCAGTATGAAAATTAAAATTATAACGTTGTCCGCAAATAAACTTATTCTTGCTATATATTGCTATCATCTATAAATTCATCTATCTTATAATAGGCTTTTTTACATAACATTTGTTTAATATAAGATTTGAATTGCCTCTCTGTAAGATTTAGCGTAGACTCTGGCAGTTTATTATAGAATCTTACGCAATTACCATAAAATGAATTACTAACTTTGTGTAGACGGCATTTAGGTAAAATTAGCTTATTTTTATTGCGTAAGTTTCTACTTGTACAGTCTTTAAGTTTCTTGAAACTATCTAAGTTTTTCCTTGTATACATAATATTTTCATAAATGTACTGTGAGGCAACGGTGAGGATATTTGATTGTTTAAAGCATTGACGTAATGACTCTCTAGAACCCATACCATAAATAGAACGTATGGCTCTCTTTTGTAAAATAAATATAGTATTTATATCGGCAGCTTTACCCCATAGCAGTATGCCATATGACATAATGCTATGGAAATAACTAAAATATACAAGTTTTGCCGTCGCCACGTCTGTTAATTGCCTTATCCTTCTAATTGCATAAGCAGCAGAACTAAGTCTACTGGCTAATTTTGAAATATGGGGCCCCCATTGTAACTTCGAGTCCACTGTTATTCCTAAAAAAACAGTACCATTAACAAAATTTACTATTTCATCATTAAGCAATAGCTGCGTATTTACTTGTTTTACATTAGGCAGCGTGAATTTAATGCACTTAGTTTTGTTGGAGTTCAATAATAGATTATTACATGTGAACCAATTTAGTATAGCAGAGATAGCATAATTTACATCGTCTAATTGATTACATTGGCGACCAATTTTAAACACTAACGAAGTATCATCCGCAAATAACACTATATCTGCAACTTTCTCTACCATGTAGGGAAGGTCATTTATATAAATTAAAAAGAGAAACGGGCCTAATATTGAACCTTGAGGAACGCCCATTTTTATATTAGTTCCCTTAGACTTTACACCATCAATATCTACAGTTTGCACCCTATCCTCTAGATAAGTTTTCATTAGACTTAGGTCATTATCTCTAATACCATAATGTTTGAGCTTGTACAAAAGTGTTTCATGATCTACGCAATCAAACGCCTTCGACAAGTCACAAAAAACGCCGAGAGCATCCTGTGAGTTTTCCCATGATTCGAATATATGTGTAATAAGCGCTACGCCTGCATCAGTAGTAGACTTGCCGGCAGTGAAACCATATTGCTGACTGTGAAGCAGTCCGTTATCCCTGAAGTATTTTAACATTTGGTTAAACATAATTTTTTCAAATACTTTACTTAGAACTGGCAAAATAGAAATTGGTCTATAGTTGCCTAGCTCAAATCTATCTCCAGATTTAAAGAGTGGAATTAATTTGCTAAATTTCATTAATTGAGGAAACACGCCATTATCAACACATTTATTGAAAATAGTAGCTAGATAAGGAGCAACAATATCTATGAATGTACTAACTACTTTAACTGACATGTCCCAGAGATCTTCCGTATTTTTTAAATTTAACTGTTTGAATATTTTTATGACATGAAAAGGGCTGACATGTGAAAATTTAAATGTTAAAGAGCAAGGGCTGACATTAGCCTCCAGTAATGTTTTTGCTCGAATTGGAGATGAGTCTAGAGAAGATGTAATATCAATCGGAATATTAGCAAAAAAATCTTGAAAAATATGAACTATATCTTTTGTTGCTGTTATTAACTTATTGTCATAATTTAATGAGAATTGATTGCAGGCTTTTTCAGACCGTCCAGTTTCTTTGTTTATAATTCCCCAGATGGTCTTAATTTTGTCAGAGGACTGATTAATTTGTTTATTTATAAAATTAGATTTAGCTGCAATACAAACTTGTTTGAAAATTTTAGAGTAATTTCTCACATAAGTTGTAAATTTGTCATCAAATCTATATTTTTTTTGATCATATAAATCAAATAAAATGTTTCTACTTTTAAGTATTCCTACTGTTGCCCATTCTGTAAATTTAGATTTAACACAATATTCTCTTTTCTTGAAAATATTCTGGTATTCTTTTGACAAAAGACTAATTAACTTGGTGTAAAGAATATCAGGATTATTAAGACTGACAGATTGTAACTCTAAGTCTAATTTATATTTAACCGTGCTTTTGTATTTATTAATATTGTAAGCATTTATTTGTCTTTTTGATCTTTTATTATTGGTATTTGTTTTAGTCTGATTTAAACTTAACAACTTGACCACAGTGATCCGAAGGAAGTTTATTTATTATTAATTTTTCAATATACTCACAGTTACAAAAAACATTGTCAAGACAAGTAGCAGTCGTAGCGGTTACACGAGTGGGTTCCTGAAAGACATTACTCAAATTAAAAGACTGAAATAAACTAATAATTTTTGTACATGTGGGTGTATCACAAAGAATATCAACGTTAAAATCACCACACACAATGATTTTTTTACTGCTATTAAATACTTTTTTTAATATATCCTCCATCACCTCTTCAAATACATTATAATCACTATTAGGAGGCCTATAAACACATATAAGTATATAATTATCTAGTTCTATACATGAGATTTCTGTACAACACTCAATAGAAAGTCTAACAATGTCAGCACGTTCCTTTACTTTAATATTATTTCTTGCAATTATCATAGACCCACCTCTGTTAACTGACTTTCTATTGAAGCAGCTGACAACATTATAATTATTTAAACTGAACATCATATTGCTTTCTTTAAGCCAATGTTCAGTGAAACAGATAATGTCAATATTGTATTTTTCCAAAAATAATTGTATAATTAATTCACTGCCGGGAAAACTTTGTATGTTCTGATGAACAATTACCAATTCTAATTGCTTTCCCTTTGTCTTTGTTAGCAGTTTAAATCTGCAGTCAAATTACTTATATCACTATTTAAACAAAAATTAATAGAATCATTTGTTATGTCACAATTTTTATATTGAAGTTTACCATGTAAACTGTTCATGAAGTCAATATTATAAGCCACTAAAGTGGCTATTTTATTCTTAGAAGATTTAGAAAGATACATTGTATCTTTTGTCAAATAAAAATCACTAATAAAACTATTAGTGTCAAAAAATGTAAAAACGTCACTATGACGACATGTCAATGTATGTAATAAATTATTAAGGTAATGTACCTTATTGTTAATTTTTTTATGATAATGGCTACTTGTATAAGGAAGAGCGCACAATACAATCTTATATACATTCAATTGTAACAAATATTGAATACCTTTAATTATATCCTGTCTATTTAATTTAATACTATTACCAAAAAATAACACAACTGTGGTCATTTTATTCATTTTAGTACATTTAATTTTGTTAATAATTTGTGCAAATGATGCCCCTGGCATACAGTAATTTAATACATCAGCCTTAAGATGATACTTCAATATAGACCCAAAATTACAGCCTATTCTGTCAGAAAACACCATTGTGCTACTTTTAGGAGTATAGTCACTGACACAAATCCCCTGAACTTCATTTATCTGCACAGTTGAAACTGAATTATTATTTGGCAAAGTTGAATGATCACATGTACAATGTTTAGTTAATGACTCAAAACGGTCAGCATTGTATTTACTGACATCAATCAAATCATCCATTGCTAAATTTAACCCATTTAACCCACCCTCTGCACCTCATTTCGGAGGTGTATGGGAAATTCAAATACGAGCTGCAAAAACGCATTTATATCGAGTTGTAGGTGATCAGGTGTTGACATTCGAGGAACTAGCTACACTTTTTAGTCAAATTGAAGCAGTCCTGAACTCGCGGCCTTTGTATCCTATGAGTTCAGATCCCAATGATTACCAAGTCTTAACACCAGGACATTTTTTAACTCTGGAACCATTGACATCTGTTCCAGATGTGGATGTAACTCACCTTAATGTCAACAGGCTAGATCGCTGGCAACTGATTCAGTCGTTCCAACGATCGTTTTGGAATCGATGGAGAAACGAATATCTCCACTCGTTAAATTTGCGAGCTAAATGGACAAAAGAGTCGAAGCCACTAGAATTAAACTCAATGGTAATTATCAAAGATGATAATCATCCACCTTTACATTGGCAAATAGGGAGAGTTGTAGAATTACACCCTGGACCAGATGGTCTAGTTCGCGTGGCTACCGTACGAACAGATAAGGATAATTTGATCAAGAGACCTTTGGTCAAATTATGCCCATTACCCAATGAACCGTTTTAATATTTATTATTTATATTTAGCCATCGTAGTTTTACATCGTAGGTATAGTTATAGCATTAGTGAGTAGTTCATCTGTATTTCTAATAATAGTTTTTTTTTTTATTAGTATCGTTTATATGTATATTTTTATTTAAAGAAATGCCTATCGGATTTCGGTGGGCGGAATTATGTACCGTCCCAATCATAAATTGTGCATTTTTTATTCGCTTACCGCGCGTAATGTTTGGAGCGGTCACAATCGTAAGTTGGTTTGCGCGGTGAACCCACGCATGCACTTGGCTTGACATACGCGCGGTCTGTCGTCTCGCAAATCGTGATATTACCGAATAACCAGGATAAATCCAGGAGAATACTCTTCGAAGCATCTCGTTGAAATTAAGGTGGAACCAGAACGTCGCACAAGACTCCATCCAAGTAAGTGCACGTATCCTTCTTATTTATTGTGATCGCTCCTGCAGTGATACCAGAGTGTGGCAGACGATCGAATTCCACCGCCTCACGGTGTCTGCTACACCTACTTTAATTTAGTTTTTATTGTAATACACATTGTATGGGATATGGTTGAATTTTGCTTAACGTATTTTGTGTAATGTCTAGAGCAAGGAAACACACGTCTGGTCTGTAGTAATTTGTATTTGCAACTAAACGAAATAACATGCCGCCCACCAAAATGACTATAAGTTATTTTAAGGAACAATTTTTAAACATATGAATAATGAATTTAACATTATATAAAACTACTATCAGTATTTACAGGTAAGTAACACAATTTACTAATTGATCTTTTTACAATATTATCGCCACTTTTCACGCTGTAAACTCTAGTAACACTATCTTATCCAGGATTTGATAACTCTTTATTCGCACCAATAAAGTTTCTTCCTTGATCGCTCCATAAGTATGAGCACTTTCCTCTCTTGGCAGTAAATCGTTTGAATGCTCCTATGAATCCTTCTGATGTCATATCTCCAACTAATTCTAGATGAATGGCTTTAGTAGCCATGCATATGAATATAGATATATAGGCTTTCTTAGTTTTCATGCCTCTGCCCTTCGATATCAATACTTGAAATGGACCAGTAAAATCCACACCGCTGTGCAAAAACGGTCGCGAAGGCGTCACACGCGCCTTTGGCAAATCTCCCATAATCTGAGTTCTTGCAACAGCATTGTGTCTTGCACATATCAAACATTTACGTATGTATGACTTGATCATACTTTTCCCTCTTAATATCCAATACTTAGAAGTCAGGTACGTCAGCATCACTTGTACACCTCCATGTAAAGTTCTACGATGTGCCTCAGCCACAAGCAAATATGTCAATCTGTTTTTATGACTGAGTATGATTGGATATTTGCTTTCTTCGTTTATATTGGCGTATCTGAGTCTTCCGCCCACCCTGAGGACTTGTAGTTCATCTAAGTATGGATTCAATGATTTTAGACTGCTACTTTTTCGTACCATGTTTTTGTTTCTTAACGATTCAATTTCATCCTCAAAATCATGTTCTTGGCTTATTTGTATGCATACATGTAATGAATCATCTATTTCTTTTGTTGTTATTGTATTACTTATATCTTCTGATGATAATTTAAATTTCAGAAATCTCTTGCATAGCGTTATTACTTTCAATAATTCTGTTAATGTGTCGTAATTTTCAAATTGTGAATATATACTAGTTTCTTTTTCTTGTTTATTTATGTTCAAGTGTGCATGTATAACCGTTTTCCTTTCCTCATCTGTCTGTATATAACTTGGCTTTTGAAATTCTATCTTTTGATCGGACAACCATTTCGGCCCTTTCCACCACAATTTCGACTGTTTCAGATCTTTAAGAAACATTCCTCTGGAAGCTATGTCTGCAGGATTGTCACGAGACTTCACATAGTACCATTGCCTGTTATTGGTGTTATCAATTATTTTTACTACCCTGTTCGCTACAAAAGGTTTCCATTTACAAGGTTCTCCACGTAGCCAAGATATAACAATAGTGGAATCAGTCCACGTAAAAACTTGAGACATTGACAACTTCATTGCATGTGTTACTTGTTTGAGCAATCTCGACAGTAAAACAGCACCACAAAGCTCTAAGCGTGGCAGTGATATTGTTTTTAATGGAGCTACTCTTGTTTGCGCAGCAATGAGAGTGGTAGTTACGGTTCCGTTGGAATTAACAACGCGACAGTACACTACCGCCGCATAAGCTTGCATTGAAGCATCGCAGAATCCGTGTATTTCAATAGCTTCTTTCTCTTTATTATATGTATGTAACCATCTATCTATATGTATGTCACTTACGTTTTTAAAATCATATTTAATTATCTTCCATTCATCTATCAGTGATTGACTTATTTCTTCATCCCAACTGTATTTCTGAATCCAAAGTCGTTGTATAAATATTTTTGTTTTTACTAATAACGGTGCTATCCATCCCAGCGGATCGTAAAGTTTTTGCATGTCTGACAAGATTCTTCTTTTTGTAACAGTAACTGATTCATCATGTGTTGTTGTATTATACTCGAATTTGTCAGTTTTTAAGTTCCATGAAATACCCAATGCTTTTGTAGTACCATCAATATTGAGATCTAAGTGCACATTTGATGATCGTTCGTTTGGTGTAATAGCTCTCATAAATTCAGCATTGTTAGATGACCATTTCTTTAGTTTGTAAACCACCTTGTTGTAATAGTTCTCTTAACTCTTTGCTGGCTGCTATGGCTTCCTTTACATTATCACAACCAGATAGAACATCGTCTACGTAGAAATCTTCTTGTAATATTCTACTGGCAATAGGATAATTGTCGCCTTCATCATAGGATAGCTGCATGAGTGTCTTAACAGCCAGGTATGGAGCTGACGCCGTTCCAAACGTTACTGTGAGCAAATCTTTCAGAGGTTCGTTAGGGTTATTTCTCCATAAAATTCTTTGAAAGTCAGTATCTTCTTTTGCTATTAAAATCATACGATACATTTTTTCAATGTCAGACACAAAACAAACAGCATGCATTCGCCATCTCATCAACAGACTTCTGAGATCTCCTTGCAGTACTGGTCCCAGCAACAGCTCATCATTTAGCGAGGTGCCGTTTGAACCCTTGCATGATGCATCAAACACGACACGTGTACTGGTAGTCTCCTTTCCTTCGCGAATGACTGCGAGATGTGGTATGTATATTGATTTTTTTGTATAAATTTCTTTTTCAGGTACTTCTTCTATATGTTTCATATTTATGTATTCGTTTATTACTTCCGTGTATTTTTCTTTTAATTGTGGTTGTCTGTTAAATCTTTTCTCTAGCTGTATAAATCTATTTAAAGCTATTTCTCTTGTGTTTCCGTCTGGTGATATCGGTTTATCTGTCTTAAATGGTAGCTTCACTATATATCGTCCCTCATCATTTCTTTTGTATGTTTTCTCATAAATCTCTTCACAAAGTTTCTCTTCTTTTGTATATTTTCTTTCAGTGTTCATGTCTACCTCCCATATAACTTTCAGTATCTCGTCTACATCAACTGCATGATGCGCGAGTAGAAAGTTTGATTCTTCAGTTGTATTTGCACCAGAATATATCTCACCAAATAAGATCCAACCAAGACTTGTTTTTGCTGCACATGGTGTTCCAGGTGGACCTCTGACTAACTCTGGTTGTAATATCTTAGCATATTCTTTAACACCTAGAAGGAGATCGATGGAGCCTGGCGTATAATAACTGGGATCAGCTAAGTGTAAACCTTCTAGATGTGGCCAATTGTAAACAGCAAGTGATTTTGTGGGTATCTTAGTAGTCAGTTGTAATGTAATGTGAATCGTATCTAGAAACTACTTTGAACTGAACTACTTGATTTACATTTGATCTCATAGATCCCATTCCGACTATGCTTCTTTTCGCTGTTGTTCTTGTGAGTTGTAGTAATTGAGTTGCTTTTTCGCTGATGAATGATGATTCAGACCCTGGATCTATTAGCGCTCTTAACACAGTATTATGACCATGTTCATTTGTGACAATGACCATTGCAGTTGCTAATAGAGCTATTTTCTGTCCAGTATTGCAATTAGACGCAACCATTGTATTGACTCGTATTTCCTCTTGCTCTTCTACACTGGATTGTAATGACACAGTCGGTTGTATGGTGCTTATTTGACCCGAAGTGTCTGCTTTCTTCTGTAAGTGTAGAAGCGAATGGTGACGTTTGTGACAAACATGACAGGAAACTGGTATACGACATTTTAATACCGAATGTCCTGGTACTAGACAGTTGTAACAAAGATTATTATTCTTTGCGTATTCTTGACGTTCCAGTGGGCTTAACTTTGTAAACTCCTTGCAATGACATAAAGCGTGGTCTTTCTTGCACATAACACAAATTTTGTTTGAAGTTGTTACATGGTATGATTTTTCTTTTACAGTTCGCTCTCTTGTGTATGAAGATGACGGTGTAACTAATTCTAGTGTACGAAACTGTGATTCTAAAAATTTCTTCAAGTCAGTCCACGTAGGCAACTCATCTGTATTTTCTTTATAAGCATACGCCTCCCATTGTTTATGTGACTCTGGGTCCAACTTCTGTACAACAAGAAATATAATTATCGGATCCCAAGAATCGGTGGTAATATTTAAATTTTGTAAGTTATTTATACACTCAGATGTAGTGTCTAACAATGACTTAATTTGATTAGCAGACTGACTAGCAATTTTCTTTTGTGTAAATAATCGTTTTAACAGAGAGTTAACTATCAATCGTTTGTTACCGTACCGATCCTTCAATGTATTCCACGCTAGTGCATAATTATTCTCTGTTATTTGTATATGCTTCAATAAATGCTCCGCCTCACCGCTGACACTTGTTTTCAAGTAATGTAATTTTTGTACACTGCTTAGAGATGTGTTATTGTGTACCAAGGAAATAAATAAATCTTGGTACCCTGTCCACGACTCGTACGTTCCTAGGAACAGGGGTAAATTAATTTTCGGAAGTTTCACTTGAATGTTTGAAGTGTCCCGCGGTATTCTTTCAACTGAACGTGACACTGGCAACGCTGATAACACATCTTTAAGGTCGGCTTCCAAGCACAAGTACACATCTTCATGTAAATAGTATTCTTCATTTACGAAATACGGCAACAAGCTCCTTTGTTCTCTGGTCGTAGTGCGTATCAATTCTTCATGTGATTTCTTAAAATTCGTCCAATAATCCTCAATACACTTCAATCGTGCTTCAATGTATCCTTTTGTTAATCGTGACTTCGGGCATTTTTTAAGATTCACTTGTGTTTTCTTCAATAAATTCCCTGTTTCTTCAAGTATACTGATGATTTGGTCCAAAGTAGCCATATTTCATAAAATAGTCTTCCAAATATCAATTTATATACAAGTAATGTAAATGGCGTAAATTATAACTATTCAACTTTAAAACTTTAAAAATATGACTCGGCGATGTACTTAAGCAATACAATGTTGTTTGTTTCTTTGTTCTTTTGTTCTCGACGATGGGTCGGCTCGGCGCGGCGGTCAGCAGGTACTCGGTACAATTCTCAGGTAATCCGGCTCGAAGGACCATATAATGTTTGGGATATGGTTGAATTTTGCTTAACGTATTTTGTGTAATGTCTAGAGCAAGGAAACACACGTCTGGTCTGTAGTAATTTGTATTTGCAACTAAACGGAATAACACACATCATAATGTATATAAAAATACTTTAAAATATTTTTTATCACAATTTCGTTATGATATTAATTTTTAGTAAAGAACATTTTTCTTAAAAAAGGAGAATTAAAAGGCAATGATAAAGTTGACATTAAAACTATACCTACATTTGAGAATTTAATTAAATTTTTGGAAAATCAATTACATGTTTTAGAAAATGTTAGTGTTTCTATACATAGGGCTTCTACTAGTAGTACATTAACAGTCATTGAATTAAATAATAAAAATAAACTTAGTAACAATTATTTGTCCTTGCTGTCAGGATAAACATAGCTTATATTACTGTTCTAAATTTGATGCAATGTCTCCGGAACAAAGAAAATCCTTTGTTTTTCAACATAAACTCTGCTTTAATTGTTTAAGAACTCATCATACTTCAAAATGCATTTCACAATGTGTATTGTTATGTATGTAAACTATGGGTAGTTTGATTATTTGTAAATTGATTTATGTTAGGGTACTTATGTAATTATGATTAATATTAAATAGTTTTGCTTCCAATCTCAACCAAGTTGTATCTTTTACTGGCGACTGAGGAAAATAAATGTAATTTTGCGAACATGATGTCAAATATTAATAATATAGTGCTTCCGAGACATTTTAATCCAAAACCAGACAAATGGAGTGACTATAAAGAACAATTACTGTGTGCTCTTGATACCGCTGGCTATGGTGAACAGAACATTGATAAAGCTCGTTCATTGTTTTTATCTCGATGTGGAAAAGAGACTTATGTATGGTTTAATTGTATCCTTATTAGTGCCACATCGATCAACTGAAGTGGAATATTCACAAATTTTGCAAGTTTTGGACAAATTTTATGAACAGGAAATTAATGAAATTTTACAAACGGAAAAATTTCATAAACGTCATCAATTACAAAGTGAAAGTATTCAGGCCTTTGTAGCAGCTATAAGTTTATTAGCTGTGAAGTGCAACTTTTCGGACTTACAACGTCAGTTGAGGGACAGGCTGGTATTAGGGGTGAATGATGTGCGCTTGAAAAGGGAATTATTGAGAACAAAGGATCTTACTTATGAAAGTGCTCTTCAGTTGTGTCTCAACTATCAAGCCACATGTTTGGATTTATACCCCGATACCAAGGTGCAGAAGCAAACTCTATTCCAAGTTTCGGAACCTATGGAAATTGGTAGGATAAAATCGAATGACTGTCCACATTGTGTAAAATTACACAAAACTGGCGAACGATATCCTTTTGCTAAAGCAAGGTGTTACTTCTGTAAGCGTTATGGACACATTGCTTCTGCGTGTGCAAAGAGACTGGCAAAAGTACACCAGATACAGAATGTGGGGAAGCTTAAAATCCTTGGCCGAAGAGATGTTGGGTGTGTATAATTGTAGGGAGAATAACCTGCCAGTAATTAAAGCAGAGGTGAGGATAGATGGAGTGAATCTATCTATGGAAATAGATTCTGGAGCTTCAAGAACAATAATATCAGAAGAAACTTACCACAAATTATGGGTTACACCACCCCCACTAATTCCTACCAACATAAAATTGGTGACATGGACGCGTGAACCACTGCAGGTGTTAGGACTGGCTAAGGTTCGAGCTACTCTTGGTGGCAAAGAGGCACAATGTGAGCTGTTGGTGATAACAGGCAAAGGGCCAAGTTTATTAGGAAGGAATTGGTTCAAGCCTCTGGCGATACATATTTCTGGATTGTGCTAGACCTATGATGAATTAACATCCCTCACAAATAAATTTCCAAGTTTATTCAAGAATGATTTAGGTGAATATACTGGTCCAGAGGTTTCTTTGCATGTACGGCCTGAGATGCCACCAAAATATTTCAAAGCTCGACCAGTGCCATTTCCACTCAAGCAACAGGTGGAAACTACTTTAATACAAATGATTGATGATGGCGTTTTGACACCAGTGAAGTATTCAAAATGGGCCACACCTATTAGTGTTGTTAAAAAGAGTATGGCAGCTTACGCATATGTGGGGATTATCGTGCCACAGTTAATGTTGCTATAAATACAGACACATACCCACTGCCCACATCAGTCGAAGCTTTTGCAAAGTTAAGTGGAGGACGGGTATTTAGTAAACTTGACCTGAAGCAAGCATATACACAGGTGAAAGTGGATAAAGAGACAGCTAATCTATTAACACTAAATACCCACATGGGATTAATGAGGATGAACCGTTTGGCATTTGGTGTGAGTGCAGCACCAGCAATTTTCCAGCATTTAATGTCAACAGCATTTGCTAACATGGAAGGAGTAGCGTGTTTGCTCGATGACATTGCTGTCTGTGGAAAATATATGGAGGAACATAATGGAAGATTATGTATGGTATTAAGTAAACTGGTTTCTATGGGATTTCGCCTTAATTTAAAAAAAATGTGTCTTTGCATCAGACAGCATAACCTTTTTAGGACACATGATTAATGGCGAAGGACTACATCCATCTCCATTAAAGGTTAAGGAGATAAAAGAGAAACCTGCACCCCAGAATAAGGTATCATTAAAGGCATTTTTGGGTAATTCAATTAATGAATCTATTTAATATGTAAATTGAGACTTAAAGATTATAAGGGTGAGATATGTTATGTATGTAAACTATGGGTAGTTTGATTATTATTTGTAAATTGATTTATGTGAGGGTACTTATGTAATTATGATTAATATTTAATAGTTTTGCTTCCAATCTCAACCAAGTTGTATCTTTTATGTATGCAGAGTATGTCGTGGCCGACTCCATACAAAACTACACATCTCATCCGATCAACTGAAACCTAACCCAAAAGATGATGAAGTTTCTGTGTCGACAGTGGGTTCCATAGCTCAACTTCAATATATCCATGGTGTCTAATGTAGATACACTATGATTTTGGATACTGCTGTTTTCAGTGTACAAGATGTCAATGGATATTACCATTCAGCTCGTGCTCTCATCGACAATGGTCCTCAGGTTTCTATTGTAACTGAAAATCTTGCACAACAACTTAGACTGCCATATTCACCGTCTAGCAGTGTTCTTGGTTTAGTCTTCATCAGCTCAGCAGAGTCGAGGAATGATACACTGCAATATGAAATCTTTTATGGATTATACCAAGACCATATCAACTAATTGTATCATCCTAAAACGCATAACAGGAAATCTCCCATCAGTTATGGTAAATAAATGTATTTTAGATAAATGTAAAAACTTAGTCTTGGCTGATAAAATCTTCTCAGTTCCAGGACAAATAGATATTCTTTTAGGCATTGGCACTTTTAATCAAATTGTAGACGGTAAAAAATGTAGCGGTGAAGACATGCCCACTGCATATTCATCCATTTTTGATTGGATCATTATGGGCAAAGCGCCCACAGCATCACAACACACTTATAGTGTAGTCTCGATGTACTGTACCGCAGATACTAATTTTAAACTTTCATGGTTCTGGGAATCTGAGGAACCTCCCAGTCAACCTATTCAATATACTGAAAACATTATTTGTCAAAAACATGTCACTAACACTCACACAAGGGATAACACTGGTCGTTTCATCGTATGGCTACCTTTCAGGGTGGATCATAGACCTTTGGGTGAAACACACACTAACGCCTTAAAGTGATTTCATAATTTGGAGCGTCGCATGCTGAAGAATGAGAAGTTGCATGAACTTTATGTTGCCTTCATGAGAGATTATAGTGAAGCTGGCCACATGCGTCAAGTGTCAGGTCCCGTATCAAGTGACCGATATTATATTCCCCATCATGGTGTGCTACGTGAACACAGTAGTACCACAAAACTTCGTTCTGTATATGATGCATCAGCCTGTAGCTCTACAGGTTTCGCTTAATCAGGTACTTATGTCCGGTCCCAAACTTCAAAAAGATATTGAAGATATCATTTTGCGATTTCGACTCCAAAAAATTGTCATCACATGCGACATAAAACAAATGTTACGACAAGTGCGCATGCATGATGACGACTGCAGATACCAAACTATCTTCTGGCGCGCTTCTCCTGCTGAACCCTTGAAGCAGTACGAGTTAACTACCATTTTTATACTAGCTTTACTACTTAGCTTTTAAATACTAGCCAATGTGCTGAGGCTTGTAGGGTATTGCTAGCAGATACATTCGTAGACGATATAGTTAGTGGGTCTCATTGTCTTAATTCTGCTCAGCAATTGCAGCAAAACCTGGTTGCCATTCTCTCTCAAGGCGGTTTAGTTTTGCGCAAGTGGTAAAGTAACTCAAAGGATTTCTTGGAATCTTTCTCCTCCGATCATTGCGAGCCACCATACTGTTTCGAGGAGCAGGGTGACAACATCTTCAAAATTCTGGGCATCGAATGGAACGCAAAAACGGATTGCTTCATCTATCATGTCTCAAACATGAGTAATGTCATGACCATGCGTGGCGTTTTGTCTACCATCGCGAGACTCACTTTCTACGCTAAGCACCTTATGCAACAGCTGTGGTCAACACAACAAAATTGAGACGATCCACTTCCCCCTGCTATACAAAAATCTTAGTCGGAATTAATAGCAGATTTTCCTCATCTTAATAAAGTATCCATATCACGTTATCACTGATCAACCATTTGTATGTCAACTGCATGGTTTCAGTGATGCGTCCGAACGCGGGTATGCCGCTTGCATCT